TGGCAGGGAAGGTTTTATGGGGTCAGCTGGGGTGTCTGTGACACACAGTGGTGCTGACTTCAGGGTTGTAGGAGGATGGTTGACAGGAAGGAGCATGCTGGACAGAGCAGCCGATGGTTGTGACAAGAATTTTAGATCCCACCGTCCTCTCCTATCCAGGGAGACAGGAAGAACAGAGAACGACACCCTTCCACAGATGGAAAACCGGAGGCCCAGTGGTGCAGCTGAGCACCTACAGACCAGCAGGGACTCCTGGGCGTCTGATGCAGTTGCCAGACCTTGGTGGAGACATGGGTGAGGGTGCAGCTGAGGTCTGGGGTGGGGACAGGCAGAAAGCTTCCTGGAGTGCCCTCCTTGGGAGGGGCTAGGTGAGGCAGGCTCGGGGGCAGAGGAGGGATGGGAAGGCACAGGCCAGCAGCAGGCGTCAGGCAGCCCCTGTGCCCACGGCAGTGCCAAGGCCCTGGAATCTGGCCTGGGCAGAGTCACACTGTGTTTTCTCCATCCCCTTGTTACAGGCTATGGCCCAGGATCAACTAGAGATAGCAGAGGACCGTCAGACCATTCTTCACAGTCCTGGGGGACAGGGAGGCACAGGTGCTGCCCGGAGGCATCCAGCTAGCATGTGACAAGAGGCGGGCCCAAGGCCTCCTGCTTCCTCACGACGCTGCTCACTCAGAGTCCCCAGGATGTCTACCTTGTGCCAGGGCCTGGGCATCAGCGAAGAGGGTGGAAGTGGTCCCTGGGTGCAGAGCGGTGGGCTAGGTGATAGCTGGAAGAACAGAGGTGGAACTGTCCTCTGCTTTGAACCTCCAGGGCCAGCAGAACCTCCAGGGCCAGCAGAACCTCCAGGGTAAAAACCCAACTCCTCGCTGGTCTCACTAGAACCTGTTGTCCTGCCCCGTGCCACCGGTACCCCCATCTCTAATCCTCTCTCCTCATGCTCTGGCCACATGGTCTTTCTCTCTTTCGTCCCACCATGGGGCCGTTGCCCATGTTATCCCCACCCTCTGGAGTCCCCAGTTCTCTGGGTCATTGTCTACTCAACCTTCTGGTGCCATGTGGAATGTCACATCCTGCAGGAATGCCCAGACCAGACCAGGTCCCCACAGAGCTCTTCGTAGCACGTGTCCCACTTGTCACTTTACGTTTGTTTGCATGGTGATTCGCTCTAGACTCTAAGACCTCTGCCAGCTATTCCCCATGTCTGGCACAGTGTGTAGTATGAAGTGGGCCCATGGGCATGTTCATGGGAAGAATAAAGAATGGTGGCTCTCAGTTCAGATCCTACAACCCCTCCCCGAGCCTCTGTTTTTTCTTCTCTGAAATGGGAATGATAACACCAAGATGAGTGTGAGGGTGAGCAAATGAATGAAAATTTCCTGGCTGCACTCTCGGCAGAGGAGGAGGGAGGTCAGGGTGGGGAGAGGTGGTTGAGGCAGGCCGCTCAGGGATGGAAGGACTTGAGAGTCGTATAGAAACCAATAGGTGGTGGGGACAGGTCGGGAGAGATGTGGTGAGGAGACTGGATGTGTTCAGAGGCAGCTCAGCTGGGCGGGGCATTTCTCTGAACCCTTGGTGACCTACTTTTCAGCCTGGCTTAGGAAACCGGGGGTTTTAGAGGAAGTGGGTGGGAAACGCCCACTGCCTCCTCGGATTCCACGTGGGCCACTCCCTCAGTCCCTGCTGGACTCCCCACTCCCTCAGCCCTGGCGTGATGATTAGATCTGGGACACAGCCAGCGTTCTCCATGACTGGCTTGTGGAGATGGTTGGAAACAGCAGAGTGGCCCTGGAGAGGCACTGTGGGGTCACTGACCCAGCCTCTGTGGTGGGAAGCAGCCTGTCATCAGCCCCTAGTCGAGGAGCTCCCTCCTGGAGCTGCCCAGCTGGTCTGGTCCTTGGTCCCTGTCCCCAGCCCCCACCTGCTACTGCTCTGGCCGTGAAGTGGGCCCGGTCATTATTCCTGCCATGCCTCTCTGTAAAGCCTGCTGGAAGAGGTGGCGACAGCCACTGGCCACCAGCACAAGGGCAGGACACAAGGGGATCCCAGAGACGCCTCTGTACCTGACTGCCTACGTGCAGAACTCCTGGGTAGAGGGACTAGGCCTGGGCTTGTAGGGGAGAATAAATGACATAGACTTAGGTTCATCCCTCCCATGGCACATACCAGCTTGCTCCCATTCTTAGGGAGGGAGTTAAGGCTCAGAGAAGGTAGGCCACCTATTTGAGTTTGCACATGGACAAAAAGGCTATGTGGCTCCCAAGACAGCAGAAGTCAGCGGAAGAGCTGGATGGTGGGACATGGCTGGCGATGCAGACTGGGATCGCTGCTCTGCACGGATGTCAGAGACTCTGGGGAAAGGCTGTTTGTCTCCGTATGGCTTCCCTAGGGCTTACCTGGAAGCCCTGGGAAGACTCCTCAGGAGGCGTGCTGAGCCAGAACAGGCAACAGCCATGAGGTCATCTCCCTTGAGGCCCCCGGGAAGCCTAGTAGGGAGGCAGAAGGAAAATGGCCAGGGATGGAGGGAGAGGGGAGGCAATAGGGACTTTGGGATGGGCCACAAAGCCAAGCTCAGGCACAGGGAAGACGAGGCCATTGCTGAGTGCCCGCTGTGCTGGGCCATTCTGGAGCAGCGTCCCTCATGGACTCTCCACCAATCACCTTACTGGCAACATACATTTATTCCCATTGTACAGAACAGGACACTGAGGCTGGAACTGACACTGGATCTGCCTGATACGAAAGTGTGGGGTCTTCACAGGACGCCTTCATGATGGATGGGGACAGGAGCTTGGCCCTTCCTGGACTCACATCACAGCCACAGAGAGCCTGGGTTTCTCCTACTCCCAGCTCCCGTCAGCAGGGGGAGGCTGTGCTGCGTCTAGTTGTGGATACAGGACTAGAGGTTGGATCTGGGCTTAGACCAGAGGAACAGAAGAGGAGGCCGCCTCTGGCAAAACCTGCCGCACTTGGGAAGCCCTTAGCCATATTCCTGTGGTGGCTGAAAGGCGAGGGTGGGGGCTGCTGCCTGGATTTGCCAAGCGGCCGCTCTGCTGCCCCAGAACAAAGTGGAAACTCTTCAAATCGAGGATTTAGAGCTTCTCTTCCCTCCAGAACACCCATCACTCCCTGTTTCCCACTTCCAGGTCTTTGTACATGCTCTTCTCCTGGCATGGGGGTGCCCTTTCTGTTCCTTTCTGCCTGACCAGTTCTTACTCATCCTTCACGACCTGGCTTCAATGTCACCTCCTCCAGGACCTCCTCCACCCCCCCAGCTCTATCATACCTCCCTTATTTTCTGAAGGTAGGAATGTGTCTAAGTCACCTACGTGTCTCCAGGACCTGGCACGGGATGGGACACATGACAGCAACTTCCTGGACAATGGGCAAAATGGATCCCCCGGCAGGGCTGGGGAGCAAGGGACAGTCTGGTGTGGGAGTAAGGGTGGGAAGGGGTCCCTGAAGACCAAATGCTCATGTGCCAGACTTGCCCAGGATCAGGCTGACCAGGAGCCTAGGGGTGCGCTTTATTTCCCAGGGATGTCATGAGGGTCCAGGGAGATCTTAGATGTGAGGGAGCTCTGCAAAAGGTAGGTCCCTATATCAACTCAACTTTGCCTTGATCCCTGATGGGGCAGGAGAAGGAAGACCGTGGATGGAGGGAGGGGCAGACCAGGCCTGGTGAGTTTCTGGGTGGCAAGGAGTGCAGTCTCAGCAGTGGCCTCAGCTCTCACAAGCAAGGAGGAGGTGGGACTCCAGGGGCTTAGGGTCTACCTTGGGACTCCCCCTTCTATGGGATTTAACACAGTGTCAGAGATGGACATGGGCTCAAAGATGACGGAAGCCATGTCCTTCCAAAGGGGGTAAACTGAGGTGCAGAAAGGGGCCGCATTTGTCCAAGGTCACACAGGAGAAGCGGGAGGCCACCCCGTGAGCCCTGTCCTCCCTGCATGACAGGTGTCTTCACCTGCAGTTCAGACTCGGACCGCAGCTTCCCGGACCCCCTCCCGGGCCCCGCAGTCCAGGGCGCCCAGACTACACCGACAGCCGCACACCGCCTGTAGGCTCCGAGGCTGGCTGCTGAACGCCCCTTGCATGGCGTGGTCCGGGCAGCTACCGACCGTCCTTCTCCTTGACTCACCTCCAGCCCCGAGGGCCGGGCTCCACGGCGGCGGACAGGGCGTCGCCTGTACGGCCCCGGCTGCGCCACCGACCCGGAATGTTCCTGCGCGGCGAGGCCCCCTCCCCGGCGCCCCCGGGTGGGGCCGGTCTAGCCGGGTGCGCTATCCCTTTAAGCCCGGGCGAGATGAGCGCTGTCAGCGGCAGCCTAGGCTAGAGCGGGACGTCGCCACCCTAGCGCCAGGCCGGAGCTAGCAGCCGCGGAGCCGCGGAGAGCGGAGGGGGCGGCCGGGCCGGGCGCGGCGGGTCCCCTCGCCGCCCACTGCGCGCCCGAACCCTGGGCCCCGCGAGCGGCGGGCGGCACCCGCTGTAATGCGGAGAATGTGAGAGGCAGCGCAGGGCGGTGGGGAGGAGGGGGCGCGGGAGAGGGCGGCGGCGAGACAGACGGAGAGCAGCGGGGAGACCGAGGACCGGGCTAGGCAGGTGGGAGAAGGCAGGGAAGCGCCGGAGAGGTCGGGCTCGAAGGGGGAAGAAGGGCGGCAGCGCAGAGGAAGGGGCCCGCGCTTCGGGCGGGAGTACTGGAAGCCCGAGTCGGCACCAGGGTCGGGGTTCGGGCTGGGAGTGCGGCCGCGGCCAGGCCAGGCAGGATGCGGGAGCGGCGCCGCCCGCGGGGTCCCCACGGAGAGCAGCGGGACACCTGAGGGCGGCGGGTCCAAGAGGAGTGCAGGGCCGCGTTCCGAGGGCTCAGGCCGGCCCGGCAGGGGGGCCTTTGTGAGCGACCCAGGAGGGCTAGCCGGGAGTGCGGAGCCGGTGTGCGGCGGCCGGGGTGTGCGCGCCCGGTTGTGCGCGTGTGTGTGCGAGTGTGAGCGCGGGGCGGTGTGGCGGTGGGGCGCGCGGTAGGGATTCTGCCGGCATCGCGGCGTGGCTAACAGGAGGCAGGAGCTGGGCGCGCAGGGGAGCCGGGACCCTCCCGCGCACACGCACACGCACACGCCGCGCGCCCTCGCGCATACACACGCCCTCCCTGCCGCGCTCGCCGCCGCGGCCACCATCGCGGAGCCGAGCCCTGCAGAGCGGGAACCGGGGCCGGAGCGGGGACCGGAGGCAGCCGAGCCGGGGGATGCCGGCCCGGAGCAGAGCCGCGCGCAGTCGGCGCGCCCGGGACGGTGAGTGTGGCTGGGCCGGGCCGCTGCGGCGGGGCCGGGGCCGGGGCCGCAGAGGCGCAGGCCGAGGAGCCGGGGTGTCTGCCCGCCGGTGGCGCCGCGTGCGCGGCCTCTGATTGGGCGGCAGCCGGGGGCAGCGGCGGGGGTGGGGTGCTGGGTGCGCGTCCGTGGGGGGCGTGCACGCGCGGGGCTGGGAGGGGGCGCGCTCGGCACCCCAGGCCTTGACAGTGCTCCCGCCCGCCGCGCCGCCCCGCCTCACCCTCACCTGCCGCTGCAGCCCTGGCGACTTGCACCAACTTTGTGGAGCTCCTGGGACGCGGCGGGCTGAGATGGGTGGGGACGGAGGCGCTTTCAGGGTGCAACTCCGGCTTTTCTTTCCAGAGAAGAGAACGCAAGGGGAGTGGGGTGGGGGCGCGGGCTGGGCCGCGCCGCCTGGCGGGCGGAGGGGTGCGCCTCCGCCTCCCCAGTCGCGCAGCCGCCAGGTCTCTGGGACACCCACCCAGACCCGCGGCGCCGCGCTGGAGCCGCTCCAGGCGCCGGACTCTTGTGACCCCGCCAGGGTCAGGCGGGACCGCGCGGCGACAACTCCCAGGCCCGGGGCTCCGTAGGTTGTCTTTGCTGGCGGGCCGAAGACACCGAGGTTGAGTTGGGGGAGTGCGGAGACGTGCCCGTGCGTGTCCCCGCGCCTTCTGCTCCTCCAGACGGTGGCTGGAACAAGAGAACTCCCCGCAAGGCGCACCCCACCAGACCTAGAGGCCGGGGATGGGAAGGGGCGTCTCCTGGCCTGGTGCCCCATCCCTGCATGGAGCCGTGCCCCGCGTGCCTCTCTCTGCATTGAGGTTGTGGTTGTGCTTTGTACCCCCTCGCCTTGTGAGTCTCCTCCCACACTCTGGACCTGGCTGGCTGCCTGAGGGAACCTCCCCACACCCCTAACTGCCAACCCAGCCAGTCCTGTGGAAGATGAGATGGGAAGCTGTGGTCCAAGATGGTGCCCCTGAGAGGGAGAGAACCCAGTGTCTCCGGGAGTGGGAGGCCCAAGGAAGGGTCAGGGTCAGGATTCCTGCAGGCTCCTCATCCTCCTTGCTTCCCAGGCAGGTTCTTCCTCCTCTAGGAAGCCTTCTCTGGTCGCTCCTGAGTCCTTCCAGCATGGACTTCCCTGGGGTTGTAACTGCCGGGATCCCAAGCAACCCCCATCCATATGCTTTGTTTCCTGCCACTCGCGCTGTGAACCTGTGCAGTTAGAAGTCTTGATCTCAGCCGGGACGCTGCGTGGAGGGGTGTGGTGGCTGGAACAGTCAGTATCTACCTGGATGTCTGGAGTATGGTAATGTCTATGGTAATATCAGCTTTCAGGCTTAAACCTCACTTGCGCCTCCATTATCCCTCTGCAATCTCTCAGCCACGTTGTGAGAATGCAGGACCTGTGGGCAAGTTTCTTATCCATTTCACAGAGGAGGATTTTGTGGCAGAGATGGAGGTCGTCTTCTAAGTCTCAGGACAGCCCTTTTCTACTTCGAGGGCATCCACTGACCCTGGTCTTTGGTGAGGCATGGAGGGCACCCAGGCCTTCTTTATTGACCTGGCAGGTGGGCTCCTGCTGCGAGTGACATGGCCGGCGGCCGTTCTCAGCTCGAAGCAGCCGAACAAAGGCTCCTGACCTGTGGGACCTTTTGACCCTAGTCTGTTAAATATGTGCTTCCTGGATTTGGGGCCAGAGGCTGTCTGTGATTTGCATGATGGTTTTGAAGTCTGGCTCCTGTCATCCTCTGCGCCGCTCAGAGTTCACTACCATCCTGGGGATCCGAATCAGCCCCGCCCAGCCTGGCACTCTTCGCTGGGACCTGGAATTGTCCTGTTTGGGCCCCAGAAGCCTTCTTACTCTCTCCATCCTAGAGCCCCTTCGTGGGCCAAAGCGTTCCCCATGGAGATGTAAACGTGCACTGGCGGGGACTGGAGGGGACCCTGGTGGCTGTTGGCCCACTCAGCCCCAGGCAGGCTTTTCTGACTCGCCTTAGTCCTGCTGGCAGCCTGGACTCATCCCCAGGTCCTTCGAGGTAAGAGCTCTTGCCCAGGAGTCGCCACTGGGGGTGGGGCACCGTACCCTGCGTGCCCGGCCTCTGATTGGGCGGGAGCCTCGGGGAGGGGGGCACTGGTGGGGGTGGGGTGCTGGGTGCGTGTGAGTGGGGGGCATGCACTCTAGGTGGGGCCTGCTGTGTCCTGGCGGTGGCCTCCTCGGCCTCGGCTGGCTGTCCCCTCCTGGGCAGCCTCCCTGTGCCTCTCCGCACACCTCCCGTGCTGGCACTGGCTGATATGGCTTTCTTAAGCCATTGTTTTTTCCTTCTCTCTCTCTCAGCTCCTCTTCCTCTTCCCCCGTGGCTTCCTAAGCTCCAGACTCTTTTTGCCTCCTGGGTGTTAACCAAAGCTCTGGTTGACAGCCAGGTGGCTGGAGCAGGGCAAGATGCCTGGCCCGGCCCCGCCCCTATCATCCCTGCCTCCAGCTCTTCTGCTCCCTCCACCCCCACCCCAACCAACTCCAGCAAGATGAACCCTTCATTTGGGGTCTTAAGCCATGGTGAGGGGGAGATTGGGGCACTTCTTTGACCCCTGGCCTGTTCTGTCAGGGGTGAAAATTCCAGCCAGGGGCTCCCAGCCCCTACTGACTGCCCCCTTTAGGAAAACAGCCACTTCCCCCCGCCCCCAACCTCCTGACTGAGAGGGGGCAGTGCCCAGTGTGACTCCCTTAATTTCCCTCCCCAGCCAAGACCTGACCCTGCTGTATTTGTGTTTTAAATTGTAAAAATATTCTAACCAATCCAGTGATAAGAAATTACTGAGTGGGCTGGGCCTTGGGGTGACTGGAGGGGGAAAAGCTGCCCCTGACCACTCAGGTATGTATTTATGGGGACTGAGGGCCACCCTGACCAGTCTCAGAGTTCCTTCCATGGGCTTCTGGGGCCCAGACCCTTGTTCCCAAGAACCACACCCTGGCTCTTACTCTCCACAGCCTGGAATCCTACGCTTGGCCTAGCTTCATATTTGGAGGTATCTTCTGGCTTGAGACCTGAACTGAGTGCTGGGGATACCAGTGATGAACCCGGGCCCCTCCCCGGATGGGCTCTGAAAGGGGAAGCAGATTTGGACCCATGCCTCTGGGTGTGAGCGGGCTGGGTGACCGAGAGGCTCAGTGGGGGAGTGGTGAGGGGCTGTTTCAGAAGGAGGGGGCTGGTGGGGTTTTGACCTGCTGAGATTTTCGAGCACTTGGTCGAGGCTCAGCAAATATTTGTTGACTAAATGAGCGAATAGAGAATGTGAACGTGAGTGGGGGCTTTCTAGAAAGATGGCATGGCGCTGGCAAACGCATGGAGGTGGGAAGCGCTGGGTCAGGGTAGAACGTGTTTGCAGCGGAGTAGTTCACTTGGCGGCATGGAAAAGGTTGGCACCGGACAGAAGAAGATCCTCAGTGCCCATCTGAGGAGCGCGGGCTGATTGAGAATTCAGGGCTTGCAGGGTTGACGTTCTGGAGGGACACAGATTTGTGACATACAGTGCTCCTCTGGGGGTCATGGGAGGGGTTGTCTGGGGGCTGGGAAGACCTGCGGGGGTGATCTGCGTCGTCAGAGTTGGGTGAGGGCTCAGGATACATCAGTCCCACCCCCTGGGTATACAGAGGTGGCAAGCGTCCGGAGGTCACAGATGCAGCCTCCAGTACTGGCCCTGCCACTGTGTGCATTTCAGTAAGCCCCTGAGGCCTTGGGTCTGCCTCAGTTTCTGAGTCTGTAAAGTGGACACGTTTATGTGTCTCCATGGATAACTGAAGTGAGTTTGAGCGGGAGTTTGTAACCCGGGAAGAGGGCTACGAAGGGAAGGGGTAGGCGGCTGTTCAGCGTGCTATTTCATAGAGGAAGAGCTTGAGGCCTACAGCGGGGCGGTGACTAGCACAAGGTCACTAAGCAAGTTGGGAGTGGGCACTGCAGCCTCTGTTTCTCTGGCTGTGCCTGTGGCTTGCTGGGCAGCGGTGGGTGGTGCAGCCGAGGCCTGGGGCCCCGCAGAGGACGTCCTTAGGCAGTTGCTTCAGCACTCCAGCTGTCTGAGAGCATATGGGGCCATATGGCCACATCAGGGGAGGTGCCAGCCGCTGGAGGACGGATAGCAGCTGCCACGATGGCCTTCTGGATCCGTGTGGGCACTGCCAGCCACCAGGGTCAGGGCGGGAGGGGGCCAGAATGGAATTTTGGTGTCCAGGTTGGTTTGGACACGGAGGCTGGGCCTTGGCAGGTGGCCCAGTTCCAGCACCCATCTGCCAGGGCAGCTGGATAGGCGGCTCCATGCCCAGGACTGATCCAATTAGCTCAAGGCCAGCTGTGCCAGCCATCCTCCTCACATGCCCCGCCCAGCTCTGATGGCTCTGCCACGGGGTAGCACAGTGCCACTGACGTCAGGGTCACTGGCCTTTGTGGAGTGCGTGTGTACGTGACACGTCCCCACACCCTGAATGCTGATTCTGAGGCTCTGAGACTTTGGACATCAACCTGGTGGATCTAAAGGGCCTGGGCTTGGGTGCCAGATGGAAGTGGGTTTGATGGCTCAGCTGCTTCAAGCTGGGTGAGCTTGGACAAGTCAGTTTACTTTACTGAGCCTCACTTTCCTCATGGGTGTCATGGGGGGATGATACCTACCGTAGCCCACTTGGAAAGAATGCATGTAAAGCAGGCACTAGCCTGAGGCATTGGAGGGTCCCAGTAAATGTTGGCTTGTGTTTTGCCCTCCGCAGGAAAGGGAGGTGGGTTGGGTTGGAGCTTCAATGTCCAGATAGAAGTAAAGAGGAGCCTTGGTGTTCTTATTTTCCAAGGCAAAATTTGCTTTATAATTTTGTGTTTTTATACTCCTTTTGTTTAGTCCTCACGGTAGTTCTATTAAAGTAGGCAGACAGCATTGTTCCATTTCACAGATGAGAAAACTGAGGCCACGGGCGGGAAGTGATTCTCCAGAAGCCACACAGTGAG